TACAGAAAGGATATAGCCAGATTGGAGTCAGTGCAGCGTAGGGCCACAAGGTTGGTGGCCGGTTTGCAGGGGATGCCGTATGAGGCGAGACTGAGGGAACTGGGTCTCTTCAGCCTGGAGAAGAGGAGACTCAAAGGGGATATGTTGGCGACATACAGGTATGTGAGGGGATGTCACATGGAGATGGGTAGAGACCTGTTCTCCCCTGCAGAGGAAGGCAGAACGCGCTCCAACGGAGCAAAGCTCATTGAGCCAAGGGTTCGTTTGGATGCCAGGAAGCACTTCCTGATGCTCAGGACCCCGAGGGTGTGGAATGGGCTTCCATGAGAGGTCGTTGAGGCCCCATCGGTGCGGGTGTTCAAGGATAGGCTGGATGTCCACATGGTGGGCATGTTGTGAGCGGAGCCGGCTGGTGCCGGAGGTCAGACTAGATGGCCTGGGAGACCCCTTCTGACTCGCTCTGTTTTCTATGTTTCTATGTTTCTCTTGGTTTTTCAGCATTCCTAATCTAGGGTTGAATTTCCCTTTATTTTTTGGATTGTCTGAAAGAGGCTTCTTGATTTTCCTCCTTTGTTGTTCTCTTTTATTTCTTTACACTGGCCATTGTAATGTGTCCTTTTATATGAATGGTTGACTTAAATTATGGTACTTTTGATAGGTTTTCCAAGAATTCTGATTGATACTATTCACTCAGACTTAGGCCTTTACTTCCAGTGCTACAATTTACCTCAACATTAGAGATACTGCATTTCATTTGCGTTCATTTCTAAAGTAGAACACTCTGCATTTGTCTGGCTGAAAATGTCCCATTTCAGTCCATTTTAGTTCACTTACACTAAGTACTGTATTGTTTAACTGTTCCATTTCTTGTTTCACTATTTCCAGTTTTAACTTAGTTCGTATTTCTTCCATTCCATCTTCAAATTGTATGTGTTATGCAGCACTGAACGTTCCTTTCACCTCTGTGCATTTTAACCACTAGACTTCATTTCAGTCTTTATCTAGTTATTTCAGTAGTTACAGCACTATTAATATTAGGCCTTTGCTTTTTCACTAGCTGGTTGAATGGCTTTGAACCTGAGAGAGTCATTTTCTGGCACTAACTCTTGTTTCATTTTATATTGTTTCATGATACAGTTTACAAGCTAAGGATAATTAGAAGTAGTTTACCATTATGACCTTCTTCACAGTACGAACAAGTGTTAGTTTGTGTGTTACTGTCATTGTCTGTGAAATATCTTCTGTTACCCCCATTACCAATATAAATAGCCATTCTGTCCTGAAGAAGTGATCAGTACTCCTTAGTGAATGGTTTCTTACTCTGGTGTTTCCATTTTCATCATTCTTTTCTTGGGTGAGCCTGCTAGGAGTCCAACTTAGTGACAGAGTCTGGCCACCTATCAATATTGCTGTCAGCTTCTCTGACAGTCTCAAACCCCCTCCCCATGTTATGTTATGATTCCAAGCAGGGCATGAGATTTATACTCACTGCAAATCTAAAAAGTACTTGGTAAAGAAATGTTTTTTTAAAGAGAAAGTTCATGGTCCTGAGAAACTGTAAAACAGAAAACTGAATCCATAAAACAAGACAGAACAAAATAGTGGGACTATTCCCTTTAAAAAAAAAGACCAAATGAAGAAAAATTAACCAATCTGAATCCATCAAATGTTAAATTAGTTCTGAATTCAAGGATGGAAGAGGTGGCATTATGTGATAAAAGGGTAGGGTAAAGATTCAACACAAATCTAGTATCTTTCAGTGCCTTTCCGAGTGCTTCTGTCTTCACATACAGGTTAGGAATGTTTTTTTTCTCTCTTTTGACAATTTCTGTATGTTTGTTATGCTTCTTGTTGCATTTTTGTGTTAAGCGCATATGCAGTCACTGCTTGATCAAATAGCTCTTGTCACTTGCAAACTTCTATTCCAGTAGAAGTGTTTTTGAAATCTATACATTCTCTTTCTCTTTGATTTAAGGAACTAGTGGACTACTTACGTGTTCATTCGCATAGTGCTACATATGCCACATCTATGTGTCCTTCTATAGCAGAACAAATAATAAGAGTAATGAAATGTGTCATGGGACTAGATGGAACAACACAAGGTAAGGTGAATTCACTTACTGTGAATATTTTTGGAGTTATTTGGAGTTAAAGGAGATGGGGTATAAGAGAGGATAAACAAAATACTATGGTAACCATCTTAAGCTCATCTTAAGAGATTTACTTTCATGAATGAATGCAGCTGATCATTTGTAGCCCATCTAGGAGACCTTGCATTTTGAGGACCCACTTCCTGAGCGGCGTACTTCTATAGAAAGACCTTTTCCCAAGAATGCCATTAGGCCTTATGCTGCAAGGAAACAACTATGGGAGCCATGTGCTCCTCCTTCACCCTACCTTTCACAGACCTTGACTAAGTGAAATGATAAATTCTTGACTTCCGAGATGATTGGAAACTGACTCTTACCAGAATTGAATGTGGTGTACAAGGATCTGGTGTTCTTTCTCAGTTTCATAAACAACAGCTTACAAAGCAGGGATCATTGCTTTCCAAAGCAACCCAGGGTGTTACATTGTATTCACAGGTAATAATTGTGTGATAGAAATGTTAGTCTAAATGAAGCAGTCACTGAAATATTTTGTGCAAAGTTCTACACATTGTTAACCAACATTAGTCAAGGTTACAAGTGTATGCAAAAATCTGGCCTGATAACCTGCAGATGAACATTTTAAAATAATGTTTATACAGTATTTCCATTATGTAAACTTTTTGGCATAATTTCAAGATTGTTTTATTTCTTGGAAAGTGAAAGGGCAGCTGAGGCATAGAATATTTTTGGTTAATGCATGTTTAATTGGTTGCGTGAAATGGTGCTAGTGTGGTTTGGGTGAACATCCTCCATGTCCAAAATCTACCAGCAATGAAGGAATTCTCTGGCACAGTTAAAGTGCATCATGATGTGCCCACACAATTCATATCAGGTTCCCACTGGCAGATCCAAACCATCATAAGGTGAAGTGGGCATCAATTACCATAAAGGGCCTCTGAGATGTCAGAATAGCAAAGTTATGTTCCAGAGGCAGCACAATACTTTAATGCAATATCTTGTCTGTATGAAGTTGTTGTATGGTTTCTAAAGCATTGCCAAGGTATACAAGTTTATGTTGTAAGAATAAATAAGAATTTTTAACAGATACTGTGAAATTAGATTTATGGAATATTGCCAATGGAGGGCAATGGTGTACTGTACTTTTGAACACCCTAGCATTTTTCAGCCCTTAAGAAATTAAAGAGACTTTCTCTGTGCTAATGCAGCTCTGTGTGCATGCGTGCATAGAGAAGGGGGTGGGGGGAAATAGATATGAATGATCAGATCCTGTCCTTGATTACTGCAAAGTTTTACAGATGAACTTCACTGGAAAACAGTAACTGCAGTGCCTCTAATTCATTCATAATTCATAATTATGAATTCATAATTCATACATACACATAATTCATGTGTAGGTGGCAATGCATATCTTGATAGTCTGTGTGTACAGGCATCTATTGGATGTCAATTGGATGTCAAGAATTTCATAGCCTATAGAATATGTCTGTGACTCTCTTCTATTCAAATATGTTAATCGGAAGCATTAATTACAGGAATGTTAAGAACTGCCTTATTTAATAGTCACAAGTTATGCAGCATGATCACTTAGGCCTAGTTCTTAATGAGGTGAAGACCTTGTGTGTGAAATTTACCACTTAGGCTGCAGGTCAGAGCCAACATGGGGGGATGCTCCCTCATCATAGGTGGGGAGAAAGGATTTTTATGCAGAAACTAATATCCTGGTGAAAAGGCTAAGCAAAGTCTCTTCTTCCTTATCCAACAATTACTAAACTTGATTAGAACTTTTATGACATTTCCTGGATATAAGAGATAATTTAGATTTTTTCAGAATCTTTGTGTTGCTACTACTTGATATTAGAATAATATGGAAAAGAGGGTCTATATATTTGACCCACCAAACAGTAAATGCACAGTTAAACAGCCCATTACATAATCACTGACCCAGCAGGCACTTAAGTTTTGCCAGTGAATTGACAAAAAAAGCTACCTGTTTTAAAGCTGATTCAGTGCTGCAAGGTGAAATATTTTCCAAATTGGAAAATGTTCCAGTGCTTAATTTTTCTGCAGAAAACAATCAACTTCATAGTTTTGTTAGTAAAACTGAATGTATACCAATTGTGCAAATACAGTATTAGAGAAGCTTGACAGTTTCAAAGTTGTAATTCATGTTTTACAGGTTACTATCTCTAGAAAGTATATGCATGTATAATTGAAATATGCATATGTCCCATTGTTAAATGGAACTAATAAGTGAAATGGAACTAATACCTAGTGAAACTGAAGCTACCCCAACAGCTGTAGCATTGTACAATTTCCTCAGATTTTTCCTGCAGAGAAAAAGATCTCCTTGCGAGCAAGCTGTGCGCACAGCAAGGTGTCAGATTGTTATTGCTCACAAGGAGATCGTTTTGGACTCACCTGGAGAAAATCTCTGTGCGCGCGCCCCCACCCGCACCGCCTTGGTGGCCCATGCGCATCACCGGGACCTTTCAACTGTCCCCCTTTTCAAAAAGTTTGAGGACCCCTGTCTTATTGTCTTGCCTGTTGAATAAGAGCTAAATTATCAGTGATAAAGCTATCTGAAAACTGCAGTGTGCCACTGGTGTCAGCAGAACACATTTTGGAAATTTGTTTCATTTATCTTCCATCAGCTTATGGGGCAGGAACCTTTAAGTGGGGAATTGATTAATTAGCCATCTTTCTTTCTTGGTGTGACTATGCATAAAATTGTATAAGCCACCTTCTTTTGTCTACATATAAATGGTAGCTGACCTAGATCCAAGCTTACTCAGGTTGTTCTTATTCCCATAGAGATAGTGGCAAAGTTCAGAATGAATGAATCAAGAGTGGAGCTTTACAACATTTAGCTTGTCTCCATTTTGCTAGAAGAACTGAATACCTCTTCAGTTTAGAGCAAATTCTTTTTCCTCTTGAGAAATATAAAGTTCTGTTTGATTGCAGGCTATCTTGGAACAGCCTCAACATTGTTGATTTTTAGCTGGTATGTATATAAGCCTAGGGGAGATCTACACTAGAGCTATTACTGTTTATGACAGTCTAGGTATTCATGCAAAATGCATGCTAATTAATACACGAGTTTGTATCACATACAAATGCAATTGTAGGAGAAGCAAGGAAGTGGGCGTGTAGAGATTTTTTTAAAAAATCCATTAACTAGGCACAAGTGTGAGGGAGCAGGAACAATGGTGTGGTGAGAGACAGCACCTCCTGCCCCTTCACAAAAAATCATGGAAAGAAGAAGGGATGGTGCTGCTTGCTGTTGTTTTTCCACCCCATTGGGTGAAGCCAGCATTTCCATTCCCCTTCATCCAAAAGCTAGCAAATGAAGTTCCTCTTCTATGCTGACTTTCCCATAAGTACTCTCCATTGAAGCCAATGTGATTTACTTGTAAGGCTATTGAAGATAATATCATTTACTTCTGAATGGATATGCATTTCAGCTTTTGTTCCTTGTAGCAAGAGGACAAGGCAAGAGGGCAAAGAAGGCAATTAAGAAGTTTGAAAAGACTTTCATTTTTCAAACGAGGGGAGGGGAAAGCATCATTGCATTTTCAAGCCAGAGAGAAAGAAGTGGGGGCAGGGGAGGGCAGGAGAAGTGCGAAAGCAATTGAGAATCTGCTGCTGCTGCTGCTGTTTTGCCAAATTCAGTAAGATATTTCTTCTTCTGCTCCAGTCTACTGAAGTCAAGTCCTCCTGGCCCAACAACAATACTACAAAGTTAGCACATGCCTATATATACTTGGGTGGAAACCACAAGATAACAAATAATAATATAACTAGCCTGAAGAAATCTGGGGTATAATGACAGAAATTGCACAAGGAGGATAGGTTGGGATGAGCAGCATATGCCAGTGAGTCAGGTATTACAATGCCAGTAAAAATACCTGGTGTAGATTGCCCTCTAGTGTTCACTATCTGTCTCTGGGTGCTGTTTCTAAACCTGCCTCTGGGCTGTACCATTTCAAGCAGCAGAGAACTGAACTCTTTATATAACTCTTGCTATATCCTCTTTATGTATAGCAAGAAACACCATCAAGAAGAAATCTAAGCTAGAATCCTTCTCATTGATATCCTAGCCTTCTTTGAAAAGGATATTATACAGACACACACACAACACACACACACAGAAGAGACTTCAAAAATGTGAGCCTCCTCCATTCTGCAATGGCATTCACCAAGAACAGATATACTAGATTGGTGAGAACTGGGTTCTTCAAAGCTGCTTTAGTTTATTGAATACAATTCATGGTATCATTTAGGATATGGTGTCTTATTCTGAGTGAGTGTGTCAATGCAACAAGACTGGCAAACAGATATTCTCCACACTGTCTTTGTGATTGCAGCTTCCTTAATGTGGCAAGAAATGGTTGGATAAAACCCTATATTCAGATGAAATTTGGATAAATTGAGGTTGCTTTTGGCAGGGTTGGATTTTAATATTACACCTACAGTTGCCAAGTTCTTTTCTCAGTCAATTAAGATTAAAATTACTATTTTAATATAATGTAGATATATCTATCAATAAACTCCTTTATCTTTAGTCTTAGTGTGACATTGCTCAGAGCTGGATAAGTTGTATGAGCAGTATCATTGAAGTATAAAGGTATCATTCAGGAAGTTCCCAATGCAAATCTCACTTCTACGGTGAGCTTATTTGTGGCCTTAGGCAAGCCAGGTTCCCCCTCCCATTTGTAATGTGGAAATAATATGACCATATTTTGCAAGATTGCTGAAAAACCCACAGTGAACATTCTAGTGTGCTATAATGTTAAGTATTTCTTATAAGCCATAAATACACAAAAGTAAATGAACACAATGACACTTCTGAGACCTTAATTGAGGTTCATGAATCACTGCTATAAATTCACTGATGTAGGTTCCTGAATCACTGTCCACCTCCACATATCACTGTAGTTCAGATACTTGTGTTCAGCAGTAAGCAGCCTTGAAACATGGTAATATAGTGCCAT